TTTGCATTTCCAAGTGAAGTGGCATTGCACAAAGTGCAATCGCCGCTGTTCCATATGTGTTTCAGATGGAGGAGGACCGTCTGCGCGATTCGAAACAAGATGACTTCGGCTCTATTGAGAAGAGTGGTCTCATCGTTGCCGAAGTGCAGCTTGGCTAGTGCTGATTTTAGAGTGAGGAAGCGCAAGACGTAGAAGACCGAGTTTATGAGTTTTGTCCAGGAGGTGAATCGAGAAGGATCTATCGTTTTGTAGACGTTGAACTATATAAGAAGAAGCAGAGTGAGCACTAGCTGAGGCGTCTGTGAACACATGGAGGTCATACTCTGACAATGAATTATCACGGATGTTGAGAATGAGCCGCGGAAAGGTTAGCTGTCCTGCTGTCCAAGTGGATGTAATCTGAGTCCATTGATCGAGTTTTTTTATAGGCAAAACATTGCCCCAGGAGAGGGTAATTTTCCAGAGAGATTGGAGAAAAGGCCTGCCCACAAGAGTTATCTTAGCGAATAACCCGAGCGGATCGTAAAGGCTGGCAACGTGCTTGAGCACCTTTCTTTTGTTCAGATGGTGTCTCTCAACAGGTTTGGGGAACTGGAAGAGTTAGCGTGTCCATTGTAGTGTCCCATTTCAGACCGAGAAGGTTCTGGATTGTTGCTATCTTACCAATACCATTGCTTTCGAAATACTCATTAAGGTCTTGGGAATTACTAGCGAATGTTCTTTCTCTGGCGAGAAAAGCTCTTCTCTCGGGGTGAACCATTCCACGTGTTCTTGGGAATGGCGCAAACGTGCTCATTTGCAGTTAAGGAAGTGAACTGGGAACACTCGATGCTTACTTGTATTTGGAGTAGTATCAGGAGGGTGCACAAAATTGCAGGTTCGAATCCTGCCGTGGTCGCCACCTTTTTGGAACGGTGGAAGACGGAGACGATTTTCAAGGCTTCATTGAAAAGTGAAATATATTGATTCAGGTGCGACTTATATACAGCTTAGCCGACAACACACAGATCTCTTCTCAGATCTCAGATTCTCTTCTTTTTCAACGCCATCTACTCATATGACAGCTGATTTGGCTTTTAGAAATCGCCGCGCGCTAATATTGTATAAATAAGGAACCAGCAATTGAATACTTAGAAGCATTATCTGTTAATATGCAATGAGGAAGCAAACACTCAGAAGCTGAAGGCATCATATGTTGTTATGCAAATACGCAACCCATGATCGCCATTCTGTAGAACTTGCAGAAAGGTAATACGAAAAGAAGATGTTCGACGAACTGGCAAAACCTACACTTCTGGACTTTTTCCTGCCTCTCACTTTCGCCATCAGTGCTGCAATACCTCTCTGATAGAGAGGGCTACTTTTCAGATCCTTTGGCAGCGGTTCTTCTCTACAGCATTGTGGCTGTAGCTTTTTCCACGTGGATATTCAGTTATTTACTCGTGCGACTGCCCACTACAACTCTTGATATCAAAGTAATTAGAAGCAAGCTCGGAATCGATTTGTTTGAAAGAAACACCTTCCTCCAGAAAACGACGCGAGTGTACGCATGCTGTGGCAGGTACAAATAGCAAGATGATCTAACAAGGACTGAAGGCTAAGCCCTAAGGATGTAGCAATCTGTTTCCCCGCCCCGACATAAATGACCTCCCCATAGTATAGGCCATTCTTCGCAGCGCCTGCTGAAGTGGGGGACTTTATTTTCTTCCTTGTCGGTGTTTTTATTCATTTTCTTCATTGCTACCGCTACACTTCACAACTTCACTATCACAAGCCTAGTATTAGTACACCAAGTTGATCCCGGACTTGGCCTTCATTAGGTAATAAGGCTTTTATCCGAATGAGTACTGTTTAGCAATAGCTTCAGAAAAAAAAAACGAAGCAGGCAGAACAGGGAAATTGGAGAGGGAAAGATGGTAAAGTTACTCCAAGCAGACCCTCACCTATTGACAGATCTGTAGCGAAAATAACCTAAATATCGCTGCTGGAGTGGGTGCCCCCATTGTTCGAAGAGGGAGGGGAGGTGTGGGGAGGGGTTGCAAGAGAGCGAAAGGTCGGTAGGTAGCGCCCGTTTTCTTTTGGCTTTCTGATAATCTTCTGCTAGGTGTGCCTTCTCATCGAGGATGCAATAGTACCAGAGCGAAACGAAGTCAGCCAAGGGAGGAGTTTATAGATCAAGGGTGAACGTTGAGGCAAGCCTTTTGAACTGCGTGCAAGACTGAAATGTGTGACCACACAGGATTTCGATGAGAGAGCGCAGACCACGGAGAACAGTTACCATCGTTTTCCTAACGCCCCTTTCACCCCTTCCCCCCACAGCTAATATGACGCTCCGTGGTATACATGTAGCTAAATTCCGCTGTTTGTCTGTGAAGCTGTGAGGAGGCCAGCCATCTATGCAAAAATTGATCCTCCATGCTCTTTTACAGCCTCCATACGCCATTTCTGAGGGGGATCACGGGTAAGGGGTGGGGTCTTGGAAGCACCACTAAGGTTTTTCGGCCCTGTCTCAAATTGGTACAACGTGTGCGCCGCAGAACCAGTCTATTTCTGTGCACCCTCCCGGAGATTCCGTTCAGGTGATCTGAAATGCGCCTTGAACGAGTAGAAAGTGATGCCATGAAGAAATTAGTTTGAATCGCTTTGACGTTAGAAAACGAACGCTTTGATTTCTTCTTCTTCTCTTCTTCACCAGCAGGCGGTGCTTCAGCTAACGATGGGCTGGAAGAATGATATTCCACCTGGTTGTCTCAAAAGTTGGTGCGTATTTTTTAGGTCTCATGCCAAAAGTTCTTTCAGAACTTTCTAATCATGTTTACTTAGGCTGTAAGAGGGCACAACGTGTAGTAAGTTATAACCGAATCACACCGACCTAGTCGCCTTCTAGTTCAAAATGGGAAAACCAGAAGAAGCCATGTCTTTCGCGCTCCCATTTAAGAGCTTATACTAACCATACGCCAGAAATCACTCGAAGCTGGAAGTAACATTCCTGATACCTCTCAATGTCTTTGCTAATCACGCGGTATCGGAGTGGATTGTTCTTCTTAGGTCAGAAGAATGTAGCCTGGAGAAACCGTTGTTCAAGAAGGCCATCGAAGCGGGATTTGGACAGGCTGCGCTCTTTCGTGAAAACCTGCTAGTGGCCACCATGCTTTGGCGTTTCAGATGCACAGTTCATAGAGGTTTCCACTCCTTTTTGAAAGGGTCGAGGCTCTACCAAAGTTTCTCTTATGAATTGATCACTGGTGACAGGAGTGCGGCACGAGCCGTTCTGTAACTTTTTCCTACTCCACCCGTACGCACCTGGTTGAACAAAGCCGTACTGCAGTTGAGAAGTGCAGGTTTCATGACAACCACACCAGAATCCCCAGGGCTGGATCGAGCAGAAGAGGGTGAAAAATGGACAAGTTCACCACAAGGTCGTGCTCCACCTTTTTTGGAGCGTTCTCGAGTTAACCACCGGAGAGCATCTTCCTCATTACAGCTATGAAGTCATTCAAGTCTACTGTGATCAACGGCAGAGACTCACGGCAAAACTCCAACAACTGTCCTCAAAACTCGAAAAAAGTGTGTACGCTCCACGACAACCGAGACCCGCGTTTCGAAAATGAGGCGACGCTAGAATATCGAAGCTTGACCTGAATTCCTACCGTATCCAACGAGCAGTAGTGGTCAGCCTTCCTTCGGAAGACCCCTCTTCATCTTGCTCAGCAGTCATCTTGCGGGCAAAAAATACATTCTCGTGAGCCTCGGAATCGACCCCCTGTTTTTTCAGCTCGTACCCGCCACGCTACCGGGAATCAGACGACCACTCCTCATTGTCAGTTGATGGCTGGTAAAAAGTCACTGATAGCTATTGTTCTTGAAATTAAAGCAACAGTCCCAGCAGGGTTTTTACCTTCGACACTAATGGTGTGGAACGATGCGCTAGCCCTAGTCAAGAACATAAGAAGTGTGACTGAACAAAAACTCACCTTGGAAAGCCGCTAGAAAGGGAGCTGAACGGCTTCGAAGTGGGCGTGGTTGCTCAGTCGGCTGCAATCCCCTCAGCCGATTGATAACCACGCCCACTTCGAAGCCGTTCAGCTCCCTTTCTAGCGGCTTTCCAAGGTGAGTTTTTTGTTCAATCACGCT